CAAAAGAGATTGAAACAAGGATAAAGTTTGTTTTCTTCTCTACCAACTTCTATTCTCTATGTATACTATACCTCTCTATATCTGACTATCTACTAATCTCAGACACTTATACTATCTCTAACTTTTCCTGTTTTTAGGGAAGCAGCCTCTAAAAAATAACCTGTGATTAGTTAAATACACTCAACATGAATCACTGAGTCAAATATTATGAAGTGTTTATTATATACCAGGGTTTGTTTTGGCTCAGGGAGATTACCAGCAAATAGGATGGTGTCAGCTCCAAGAAGCACGCATTCTAATGAAGGAAACGGATGAGGAGCAACTAAATGATTAAATAAGATTGTTTCAGGTAGAAATAATAGGGAGAAGACAAAATATTTCTGTTTCATCTGGAAAAATCTGAATGAGCTTTTGGGCCAAGCCAGTAGGACTAAGTGCTGGGAAGAAGGTGTCTAGTTTAGATTACGTGGTTCAAAGGGTCCCTCTGAAGCTAAGCCCTCTGTGAGGAAGAAGCCCCGGCCATTGAATAGAAGCATCGGGCAGAGGGGTGAGTAGTGCAAAGGCCACGAGTTGAAAATTAACTTGGCGTGTTTCAGAGTGGAAAGAAAGTCCAGGACAGCTGGAGTGGAGTTCAGGAGAGTAGTAGGAGAGGAAGCCTGAGGGCTTAGCCAGCGGCAAGCCACGCAGGGCCTGGCAGACCTAGCAAGGGGCTCTTATTTTATACCTAGTGCAAGCGGAAGCCAGTAGCGGGTTTTTGGTGCATAAATGATGTGAGCTTATTTAGAACTGTCCAGGCAGGCTCTGGCTTCCATGTGAAGTATACATTGAGACAGAGCAGAAGTGGACCCAAGGATATGTGTTAAAGAACTAAATGAAGAGTCTGCCTGCAACTCAGGAGACCCAGGTCCTATCCTTGGGTCAGGAAGATCCGCTGGAGAAGGGAATGGCAACCCACTCCAGTATTCTTGCCTGGAAATTTCCATGGACAGAGGATCTGGGCAAGCTACTGTCCATGGGGTTGCGAAGAGTCAGACACAACTGAGCGACTAATGCTCACTACTTTCACGTTCCCTTAATGATATTAGTTCAATTCATGATAGAGCTGAAAAAATTCTTCAGTCTTATGCAAACATTTTTACTCATATCACTCTTTTTATAGAAGAGAAAACTGAAACTTAGAAGGGGAAATGAACCAGCCATGGATTTCTTAAGACCAGCTATTTAAAAATCTGTATTTTGCCTTCTTCAAAATTTTGACTTTTGTCCAGACACATTATCAGCACCCTCTTTGATCCAGAATAATCTCCAAATGAGGCCCGAGGGAGACATAAATCTTTGTTCTGCTGCTAACAATCCCTCAGAAATCTTTTTGATGACAGAAATGAGTAAAGACAGAACTGCACTTTCTTAAGTGAATAAATAAAGCCTTTAAAATACTTTTTTTTTTCAAATAATTTGAAGCACAGGTCAACATCGCAGACAGGATTTCAAAGAAATGGAAACAAGGGCAGAGCTAAAACCTATACCAAGCTTAAAGCAAAAATAAATAAGCCCCAAAGAGGAGCAAATTGACCTGTACTGAAGGAAACAGAAGCCATCCTTGCAAAACCTCTCAGTGCCAGGGCAGGATTTCCCACCTCCTCCCTCAACGCTGCCCCCCACCTTTCCACCTGCAGCTCACTGGAGGACTCCAGAGAGTTTACTAAAGACAGAGCACTGGGAACCTGCAGCCAGAATTTCTGTTTGATTTACACGAAAACAAGATGGGGAGATTGCAGAGATGCCATAGAGAGTGGGAAATAACGCGAAATGAAGGGGAAATACTCTCACAGCTCTATTTAGCAATACATTGTTCATTTAGAGTTAGGTTGAGTTAAATAGAAAAATCGTTTTTTTATTAATTTTTATTGGAGCACAGTTGCTTTACAATGTTGTGTTAGTTTCTACTGTATAGCAAAGTGAATCAGCCATACATATGCATGTATCCACTTCATTTTGAAGTTCCTTCCTATTCAGGTGTCTGCTGTTCATTAAGTAAAGTTCCCTGTGCTATACAGTATTCTTTCATTAGTTATCTATTTTATATATACGATCTATAGTGTATATATGTCAATTCCTCTCACACCCATCCCCTTTGGTATCCATATGTTATAGTGAAGTAAGTCAGACTGAAAAAAATATTGTATATTAATGTATATATGTGGAATCTAGAAAAATGGTATCAGTTCAGTTCAGTTCAGTCGCTCAGTCGTGTCCGACTCTTTGTGACCCCAGGAATCACAGCACGCCAGGCCTCCCTGTCCATCACCAACTCCCGGAGTTTACTCAAACTCATGTCCATCAGGTCAAAAAATGGTATAGGTGATCTTATTTGCAAAGCAGAAATAGAGACAGACATAGACTGTTTTTATTTCAAATGTTTGGAGGAAATGGGTATATGGAGTGACTATATAATTTTTCTTGCAATTCTTGATGATCCTTACTAATAATATTTGTGGTTGTTCTGTCTCAGTTGTGTCCGACTCTTTGCAACCCCATGGACTACAGCACACCAGGCTTCCCCTTCCTTCACTCTTCATGTCCATTGAATCCATGATGCCATCCAACTATCTCATCCTCTGTTGCTGTCTTCTCCTCCTGCCCTCAATCTTTCCCAGCATCAGGGTCTTTTCCAATAAATCAGATCTTCATATCACGTGGCCAAAATATTGGAGCTTCAGCTTCAGCATCAGCCCTTCTAATGAATATTCATGGTTGATTTTGTTTAGGATTGACTGATTTGATCTCCTTGCAGTCCAAGGTACTCTCAAGAGTCTTCTCCAACACCACAGTTCAAAAGCATCAATTCTTTGGCACTCAGTCTTCTTTATGGTCTAACTCTCACATCCTTATATGACTACTGGAAAAACCATAGCTTTGACTGTTGGCAAAGTGATGTCTCTACTTTTTAATATGCTATCTAGGTTTGTCATGGCTTTTCTTCCAAGGAGCAAGTGTCTTTTAATTTTGTGGCTACAGCCACCATCCACAATGATTTTGGAGCCCAATTACATAAAGTCTGTACTGTTTCCACTGTTTCCCATCTATTTCCAGTGAGGTGATGGAACTGAATGCCATGATCTTAGTTTTTTGAATATTGAGTTTTAAGCTAATTTTTTCACTCTCCTCTTTCACCTTCATCAAGAGGCTCTTTAGTTCCTCTTCACTTTCTGCTATTAGGGTGGTGTCATCTGCATATCTGAGGTTATTGATATTTCTCTCAGCAATCTTGATTCCAGCTTGATCTTCATCCAGCCCAGCATTTTGCATGATGTACTCTGCATATAAGATAGATAAGCAGGGTGACAATATACAGCCTTGATGCGCTCCTTTCCCAGTTTTGAACCAGTCCATTGTTCCACGCCGGATTCTAACTGTTGCTTCTTGACCTGCATAATAATATTTGTACTCTCTGTAAATTTCTCAAGTGTTTTGTGTTTCAACACATTCTCAAGTTCTAGGGCTGCTTTGGTGTATAAACAAATACTTCAGATATAAGTATCTGATCTAACACATCCACAATAATGTCCCTAGAGTACACAGCGCCTCACAGCCCTGTAAAAATAGCAGTGGTGACCACAGAGTTGAATTTGTAGCCCTTATCTACTACCTTTCTATTTCCTGTTCTGACTCTACACCTTTATATCTTCACAAGATAAACGTCTTGCCTGATGTAGCAAGTGCACAATCTATTCAGGACATAAATTCACCTTTGTACCTGGGTCTCCTCCAGGACCTGATGCACATTTTCAGAACCAGAATCCATCCTGCAACCTGCCACTGGGTTCGATATTCCATCTAACAGCCACAGCCATGAAAGTACATGACAGTTGTGGCAAAATTAATTAAAATTTGATGATGGCTGTCTGGGATTTCTTTCTGAATGTACAGCACACTGGTTGAGAATTAATGGCTGTGAATCTGGCTAAGCAACTCGGTGTCCACCTTTTGAATACCCTACTCTTTTCGTGGGCTTCCCTTGTGGCTCAGCTAGTAAAGAATCCACCTGCAGTGCAGAAGACCTGGGTTTGATCCTTGGGTTGGGAAGATCCCCTGGAGAAAGGAAAGGTCACCCACTCCAGTATTCTGACCTGGAGAATTCTATGGACTCTATAGGTCGGACACAACTGAGCGACTTTCACTTCACTCTTGATTTTGTCCACTCTACTTCATGTGAAATTCTGAAATTGAAATGACTTTTGACAATCCCACCTGAAGTCTTATCCATCTCATTTGGAGGGTCTGTCCACTGTGTTTTCTGGTCAACCTACAAGTGGTGCATTAGGTTGTAATGAGTGAACAAGTGCTCACATTATATTTAGTAAACATTTCAATGCTATTAAATTATTTGTTAAAAACAAGAATTTCCTCCAACTGGTCCGCAAGAAAAAACCGGAACCCCAAAAAAAAAAAAAGGAAGGATGCTTGTAATGCTTGGGTGTGCTAGTGTATGTGTGTGTGTTAATGTAGGTGTGTACATTAATGTAGGTGTGTGTGTTAGCCTTAGAAAGTTTAGCATATATTTTAAAAATACATTATTATTGTAATTTTTTAAAGATTGTTAACTTCATGCCATGCTTCACTTTTGGCCAAAACTGAATAATTAAACTTGATCATGCATAAAAGTTGTTACAATTGATTATTACAAAAGGAAATGGTAAGAATGAGGTTATGGATGAGATCAACATAATCTATATGTACATTTTCCTATGCATGCGGCGAGTCTTGTATAACTTCATGATACTCTTTGCATCCTTTCTAATCCCAGTCATCTTGCATGGTATCTCATGGAGCTCCAAAAGGTTGAATATAAACTCATCACATGCCACACCACCCGCATCTGTTCCACAACTGCTAGAGCCTACCTCTGCCTTTTGTGCCCCTTCACTTAGAGTAAGAATCTGTTCTCTGGAATTTGCATCCCCCTAGTAACTTCAGTCTCCTCTTTTTGTGTTTTTAAGGATGGGAGGAACAGTTTTATTGGACACCAGCTGGGCGGGGTAGTGGAAGTTCCAAACAGCAAGGACCAGCGGGTCAAGTCAGCCAGAGCCATTCAAATCACCTACTACCTCCAGACCTATGGCTCTGCCATTCAAGACCTCATAGGGGAGAAGTGGGAGAATGAGTTCTGTAAACTTATGCGGAAGCTCCAGGAGGAGCACCAGGACCTCCAGCTCTACTCATTAGCATCCTTTAGCCTCTGGAGAGACTTTCATAAGACCAGCATCCTGGCCAGGAGCAAGGTCCTAGTGAGCCTCATGCTGATCCTGACCACAGCCACCCTCTCCAGCTCCATGAAGGACTGTTTGCGTGGCAAGCCCTTCCTGGGCCTCCTGGGGGTGCTCACCGTGTGCATCTCCATCATCACTGCAGCTGGGATCTTCTTCATCACCGACGGAAAGTACAATTCCACCCTGCTGGGAATCCCATTCTTCGCCATGGGTAACTATCCATCCTTGTGGTAATTGGCTTCTTACCAGTGTGGGGCAAGGTAGAACATTTCTTGAATTCTCAGGTGGAAATCTGTTTTATTTTTGCATTGGTATATCTGTGTGATGATGTGAAATTTGACTCAGGGTGGTGCCTGTGTTCCCTTAGTCCTTTTCCAGTCAACTGTAGACTGACCAAGCCATCTTCCCCTTTATGCCAGGGACTTTAATGCTGTTCAATGTTATTTTTTTAAAGTACACACTACTGGAATTCTCTACTCAACTTCCTCAAAGATTATAGGATGAAGATCATGGGGTGCAAATTTAAAGAGATCCCAAATCTGCTTCACATAAAACTTTATGGTTCATACTTGTCTTGAATCCTCAGATTAATGGTGGTGAAGAGTGGATATCAGGGCATGAAAATTCTGAGAGCCACCAATAAGTTCTGATCTCAAAAAACTTCTTCATGAAGTTTTGTCTATTAATTCATTTCAAATATTTTGCAAAAATATACTCAATTTCCCCACCTCTATTTAAAATTTTCCTGCAACCACTTAAAGATGTGCTGTGTTGTGCTAAGTCACTTCAGTTGTATCTGACTCTTTGTGACGCCATGGACTGTAGCCTGCCAGGAGTCTGGGATTGCCCATGGAATTCTCCAGGCCAGAATACTGGAGTGTGTTGACATGCCGTCCTCTAGGGGATCTTCCCAGTCCAGGGATCAAACCCATGTCTCTTAAGTCTCCTGCTCTGGCAGGCAGATTCTTTACCACTAGCACCATTTGGGAGGCCCACTTAAAGATGAGTCCTCTAATTTTTTGATACCTGGGTGAAAACAATTCATGAGTAGCCTCAGTTAAGGTTATTCCTTCTTATGTGTTTTCCCCAGACAAACATAAACAGTGTAGAAAGTGGAATGTGCATGTATGTGTGTTTCTTGCAAAGAGAATATCAAGTCTGGGAAGAAAAGTAAGTGATGCTTCATCAACAAGATTGATGGAGTTTATCAGAATAGAGATGATAATGGTGATATTGTGGTACTGCAGAAGGGTTCTGTCCCTTGTGATACAATTCCCTACATAAAGCAAAGGATAAGCTGTGAAAATGGTCTCTAGATGGTGAACCAATATTCACAGGAGAGATTTCAGCTATAAAATGATTGCTTTGCACTTCACGGCTTAATATCAGCCCTAAATTATAGTTTCATTATTAAGTAACAAAGATGTAGGTGTGTGGTTTAAGTCTTCAAGGTGATCTGGACTCTTTTCTTATTGACTGAAACGAACATTATTGGAAACAGCCCTGCAAAGTTGATTTATCTGGAAACACATCTTCACTGCGGCCCTGTTTGCTCATTGCCTTCTCAGTTTCCTCTTGTATAAGAAGAGGATAAACAAAAAGTCAGTTCCAATTTGACCACAATGGTACAATAGAATTCCTACTTAAAACTAAATAATAATAATAATGATAATTATAACAATAATAAAGCTTTGATTATCAGTTTAAAAATGAGGCTAATGATTGAATAAAATAATGAGGGTAAAAAATAAGTCAAAGAATTGTTTTCTGAACATAATATCCTAAAGGTATTAGTCCAGAGTAGACACTCAGTAAGAATTATCATGTTAGTTTTTAACCAGGGGTGTTAAGTGCAGTGTATTCAATGATGAATAGGAAACAGTCCATGGCTTCAAGAAATTGAAAGTCTTTCTTGCATTCTGTGTATCATCTTTAAATGCGTGTTCATCTTGTTAACAAAAAGTTTTTCTATTTCCTGAAGAAATATATGAAATTTTTTTCCACCAGTGACAAGGATAGGTCTAGATTTGAACCATTTATACTTGTTATGTTTGGGAGTTCAGTGTTTGAACTTAATACAAGATTCTTATACATCATGCAACATGATTCATAAATGAAACATGAATCATTCAAGATGGACAAATTAGACACCTTAGAGCTGAGAAGGCTTTTTCTAAAACCGGTGGCAATCTAATTAGGTAGTGGAAAGATTTATCAGGAAAATTCTATAAAGTATGCAATTACATATTTTATATAAATAAGGAGGAAAATTGTCCTTAGTGGTGCTGAGTTGTATCCTACACTCAGATACAAAATCAGAGTGATGTTTTCATTCCTTAAAGAAAGAATAAGAACACTGAAAGCCACAGTGAGGAAAATGTTAAAAACCTAAAACCCACACCTTTCACATTTTCTTCTCTCTCAGTCATCTTTATAATCACAAATCAGCCCTGGATTGGATTGCTACAGACTCCAGAAGCCCAGTGAATGGTTCCTCTTCAGTATTTCTGTAGTTCAAGTTCTTAAACTATTCTTAAAGGAAATTTTCTGCTATGTTCTGAAAACATGGCACAGTAGACCCATAAACATATTATTGAAGATATTTAGTCCCTCAAGGGACTGTTGGGTTTGTTGTGTTTTGTTTTGCTTATAAATGGATCCTAATATTAATAGTAAAGATACCAAGATGGAGATCTAGTGAAATGAAAAGGACATGCCACAGAGCTCAGACGTCTGGGTTTCCATCCCAGCTTTTTCACTAACTATGTATGTTTTGTTGGGCAAGTTATGTATAATTCCTTTGTCCCAGTTCTTCGTCTATGAAATGAAGGATTTGGACTCTTCAGTCATAATTGTTGAAGATCCCATAATATTATTCATTTAATTTCTCAATTGAAGTTAGAACTTTTTCATTCTTTTGTAAAAACCTTGAAAGTATGTATCATCCTCAGACTTCTTATCTCCATTCTTCTTTGTTGACTTGCACATGCACATGTGTGTGTGTGAGAGAGAGAGAGAGAGATGGAAGGGGGACTTCAAGATAGAAAAATCACAGCCTTGCATGCAGAGCCTCAGATCCACAAAGCGCATCTTGGTGACAGTGGTGAGATGTATGTTATGTCAAGCCCCCATAAGCTGAGTCTGGCAGATATGTACCTCCTGGTGGTACACACAGCATTGTTTAAAGTAGTCCTTTGATGAATTAGTTTACATGGTGTCAAAACTGCACAATCCAATGTTAGTTGAATATAAGGGAAAGAAGCCCAGCTCCCAGCTCTTTTTATAAGCCTCTATTTCTGTGTTCCTTCACAGATTTCTTTAAGGTTGTGAATATTTGCTCTTCTATGCTCCAGGATTCAAGCCATTCATCCTCATTAGAACTTATCCCTAAAGCTGAGTATGTCACTGAGGCGTTCTACACTTCAACCATTTTATTTTCGACTGTCTGTCTTCCTTTTATACTTCATCTTCATGTTATTTTTTCTCACTATTCATCCACTTAATGTCCCCAATGTCATTTCAGAAGCTTGTGTACAATATTTCTGTATCCTGTATTTTTTAAGCCTGTACCAATTTTCATATTTTGTCCTGGTGTCCATATTAGTAGGGTTTCCCAGGTGGTGCTAGTGATAAAGAACCTGCCTGCCAGTGCAGGAGACATAAGAGATGCAGGTTCCATCCCTGGGTGGGGAAGATCCCCTGGAGGAAGGCATGGCAACCCACTCCAGTATTCTTGCCTAGAGAATCCCATGGACAGAGGAGCCTGGGGTCTATGGCCCATGGAGTCGCAAAGAGTCAGACACGACTGAAGCAGCTTAGCACATGTGTGTGCCCTGTAAGTAAATGTACATTTGTGAAGTTGTACATGCAAGATTTAGGTATAGAAAGAAGTTAAAAATAAGCATGTGTATTCTTTCTAGAAAAGATTTCAGAGAGAGAAATCCAGACTTAATTTCTTTAAAAATGCCTAAAATGACCCCTTTTAGCTCCAGCCTAATGTCCTTTCTCTGCACAAGCATAAACCAATGAGAATGCCAGTAATTTAATTTATAGCTCATTGTCAGCTTTTTTTTTTCACCTCATTTGCTTTATGTGGATGGGTTTCCTCTTTCTGGAAGGAGAAATATGGGCTAATATCACACACAGACGCCAAGCTGGCTCCTGCTGTATCTCTTGCTGATCTTCTGTGGATAGCTGCCAGGGACATTAAGAGCCTTGGTTCACTACTATTTTTTCTGTCCATCCTGAGTTTGTTTTATACGCCAAGAGTCTTAACTTTAGTCAGTTTGATTCTACTGGACATGTGCAGATGACTTGTGTTTTTTGGGGTTTTTTGGGGGGGGGATAGAAGACTTTTTCATTCATTATCCAAAACTGAGCTCCATATTCATTTGAATTTATCCAAATATTTGTTGAGCACCTATCATGTCCTAGAGTAAAAGGTATTGAACAGATCTGATCAAGTTGTCACCCAAATGGATCCCACATTCTAAGCCTGCTAAGGCAAGATGTGGGGCAATAAACAAATAAATATAAACTGTTATATTATTGATAAGTAACATAAAGTATAGTTGTAAAACAGGATAGGAGATAAAGAGCATAGATGGGCAGAGAAAAGCCTTTTTAAACAAGTGAAATTGAAACAGAAAGCTAAATAAAATGAAGTAGGAGCCATATACTGATAAAAGAGTGTCTCTAATAAAGAAAACTATCCATGCAAAAGATCTGAAATAGACCTTACCTGGTGAAGTTAAAGAAAAGTATGAAAGGGCATGTGGCTGGAGCAGAGTGGGCACCTGTCTTGAGTTTTATGCACAGTAGCATGGAGCCATGCCGTATAGGGCACTGAGAACTTAAAACTTAAGATGCTAAGCTATCTGAAGCATTTTGAGATGAGAGTGTGATCTGACTTACATTTTATGGAAATGAGTCTCAATGGAGCAAGAATGGTTATGGGTTATACCTCATACATAGGTAAGAGGTTATTGCGAAGTCTTCATGGGCTATAATGGTGGCTTGAAATAGCACGGGAGCAGTGACAGTGGTAAAAAGGGATTAGACTCAGGATAGATTCTGGAAAATAGAATTGACAGGATTTGCTGACAGACTGGATATGGTATGTAAGAGAAAGAGGAGTCACAGATGACCCCTAGCTTTGAGGACGGAATAATTAAGTGAAAGCAGTTGTCATTTACTGTCACAGGGGGATCG